TCTACCTCTCCTGCAAATCTGATTTTTTAAATCTTGATTTAATAGAAAAATTTCTTACTTTTTCCTCTTCTGTATGTCAGAGGAGTTCAGCATCTTTCTCTCTCTTCCCACTCCCTCAGATTCTAAAAAATGTATGCCTGGAACACTCTTCCATCATATATACATGACTTGTTTTCATATTCGTCAAGATTGTGTCACTACTAAGTAAGCTTGAGCTTGTACCACCACTACCACCATATTTAAAACTGCATTCTCTTACAATTGCATTTCCCTTCCCTGTTTTGTTTTTTGCCATACCACTTGTCACCCTCTGTCATACTCTGTATTTTAATTACAGTTGACTCTTGAACAACACAGGTTGAACTGTGTGGGTCCAATTATACATGGATTTTTTCAATAAATATATATAGTACTACATCATCCATAGTTGGTTGAATCTTTGGATATGGAACCACAGATTTGGAGGGCCGACTATGGGACATAAGCATTTGCAGATCTTGGTATCTGTGGCTGGTCCTGGAACCAGTCCCCTGTGGATACCAAGGGACAACTATATTTAGATTTACTGCCTGTCTCCCACTCTAGAATTAAGCTCTCTGAGGACAAGATTTCTTTTCTTCTTGTTTTGTTGACTGCTATATCTCTAAGACTTAGAACAGTGCCCAGCATATAGTAGATGATCAATATTTCTGGAATAAAGAAATGTTTTTAAACTGTTAATAATTAATTATATGTATATATGCCTCCTCCTCTTCTTTATATTGAAGAAATGTCTCAGGAACATTTAAAAATATTTTAAAATTTTACTTAAACAATTATTCAGATGAGTGATTCTCAAAGTGTTGTCCCCAGACCAGTAGCATCAGCATCTTCTGGGAACTTATTTAAAATTCAAATTCTCAGGCCCCATCACAGACCTACTGAGTCAGAAATTTTGTGGGTGGGGCCCATTTCTAAAGTCCATGTTTTAACAAGCCCTCCAGGCCACTGTGATGCATGCCCAAGCTGGTGTATCATTGATTTAGACTCACATCTGTATGTCTATTTTCTTTCATTGTTTGCTTCTAATATTTTTAAAAATTTTATTTATTTATTTTTGGCTGTGTTGGGTCTTCGTTGCTGCATGCGGGCTTTCTCTAGTTGCGGCGAGCGGTGGCTACTCTTCGTTGCGGTGCACGGGCTTCTCATTGCGGTGGCTTCTCTTGTTGCAGAGCACAGGCTCTAGGAGCACGGGCCTCAGTAGTTGTGGTACGCGGGCTCAGTAGTTGTGGCTCGTGGGTTCCAGAGCGCAGGCTCAGTAGTTGTGGCGCACAGGCTTAATTGCTCCACAGCATGTGGGATCTTCCCGGCTCAGGGCTTGAAGCTGTGCCCCTGAATTGGCAGGCAGATTCTTAACAACTGCGCCACCAGGGAAGCCCTGTTTGCTTCTAATTATTTTTAGACATCATTTCCTATTAATTGATACTAAATTTTAATTCATTTTTTACTGCACAGGATGACTTCCAGCATTCATTTTTACTATTCAGGTATACCTATATTCTTGACTGTCCCAGGTGTGGCACTACCATGGGTTCTCCAAGAAGTGTAGGAAATTTCTAGCCATATGTGCAACTGTTTTATTCTTCTACAAAGTACAGATTTTCTACAGCTCTGGACAGTCATGATTCATTCTGTGCATAGTGCTAGATTTTCACCTGGTAATAAATTACTGATGGAAATGGCTTTCACATTTCATTTTCTTCCCCGACAGTAAATAAGTTACTTGGTAATGAGAGCATAATATCCGTGAGTTAATCTTTCATTACATGTATGTGCACATGTGCACACACACATGCACACGTTTCATTCTAAATAGTCATACTTTTTAATTCTCCAAAATGAGTTCAAGAAGGCAGGCATTGGAATAGGAAATATTTGCAAAGATGGCATTTAATCACATATGGTTGAGGGTCCATAATTATGCTAGGCTAGTATCTAGGTGAAATATTTATTGAGAAGTATTGACCATGACTAGACAAGTCTTTCCTACCAACTTATATGTTTATTCTGAGGAATAAATCAGGTAATGCAGTGAATGTGTTGTGAAAAATGTAAAAGGTGACATACATATCAAATATTATTATTACCTTATATTACAAAACCATTTTTGTCCTTATGTAACTGTTTTTAGTGTAACAACTTAAATTTTAGAACAGTTCAGCTGTATTTTTTTAATCTATGACTCATGAGTAAAAATAGGAAAATAGGTTTCCTGTGCAAACCCAAATTGATTAACAGTATCTTCTGGAATGCATGCTTAAGAATGATTCTGAGGCCAAGTCTAGATTCACTCAGAAAGAGTGCAGTGATACATTAACAAGGTCTGCTATTGGGCAAGAACAGGAAGTAGTGCCATTTGCTGCAATATATTTGAAATCCCAGATTGAGGTATTTGTGTATAAGCACTTTGAATATGAGATAAAATGGAGTGATTGTGCAGAAAATCACTTTCATTCAGCTGCAATCACAGTTCATCTTCAGTCTTTAAATATGTGATGAATAAAAGAAACACAGTGCTGAGTTATAGTTGTAATTCATTATTTTAATGAAAGAACATGTTTGATAGGAAAAGCCTTTGTGAATTCAATATCAAATTTAATACCATATCCTCATTCATGAATAAGCATAGAAACTCTTACTTTGTCAAATAACATCATGGAGTGGGTTCAGTGAAATTTTTCATTAGTACTGATTTATACATATTAAAAGGATTTTAATTGTGAAAATAATATATGTACATGATTTTAAAATGTAAAGAGTATACAATAAAAAGGAGGTCTCCATCCCATCCCAGACTCCATTCCTGTAGTCCTGTGCCCAATGGCAACCGCTAAGTTTCTTTTGTATTTTTTCAAACCAATCTACTCACATATAAATATACATATATATATATATATATACACAAATACATACATACATACACACAGACAGGAAAACACACACACCCTTTTGTACACAAGTGGGAATAAACTATATACACAGTTGAGCAACCTGCTTTTTTCACTCAACAATATATCTTGGATAGCATTCCCTACCAGCACCTGTGTGTTCTCAGCTGATTTCTTTCATTTTCTCTTAATTTTGTGTTAACATTTTTTTTAACATAGATAATAACCCTTCTATAAAGTTTTCTGCTGACGCAGGTACTAGCAAAGACATTAAGAAAGAGCTGCATGATAGCATCAAAGATGAAACTCATAACAATGGTCACACACATTTATACACGGCAATAAACAGATATGCAAATTCAATTCTCGCATGTGGTGCTTAAGTACACAACCCTCAAGCAACTCAGGAATTGTCAGAAAACGTAATTTGTTTCTCTAGTGCTCTGATTATTCAATTATTAACAATTTTAAATGCTTTATATTCAATCTGAATATATAGAGCATTTAAAATATTTTAAAACAATATTTTATATAAAAGGTTTAAACTCTCCATCCATTTCTTCCATGTGGTGATTCATTTTCAAATTCTCTCATGTGTAACGAGGTGTAACTTCTTGTTAAAAGCTTTCTAACATTCTTTAAAGTTAGAATACTTCTAATGTTAAATAAAACCTTTAGTTCAGATTTCCCACACTAATTTCACTCATGAGATTTCTCTTCTGAATGAGTTTTCATATGTTTAGTAAGGGATGCATTTTGTTTGAAGGCTTTTCCACATTCATTACATTCATAAGGTTTCTCTCCAGTGTGGGATCTCTGATGTATAACAAGTTGTGACTTTGCATTGAACGCTTTTCCACATTCATTACATTCATAGGGTTTCTCCCCAGTATGAGTTCTCTGATGTACAATAAGGTGTGACTTTTGGGTAAAGGCTTTCCCACATTCATTACACTCATAGGGCTTCTCCCCAGTATGAACTCTCTGATGTTGAGTAAGACCTTCAATTTGCTTGAAAGCCTTCCCACATTGATTGCATTCAAAAGGACTTTCACCGGTATGAGTTCTCATATGGTAAGTAAGAGATGAGCTATGTCCAAAGGCTTTTCCACATTCATTACATTTATAGGGTTTCTCTTTAGTATGAGTTCTTTGATGTATAATGAGGTGTGACTTCTTGCTGAAAGCTTTCCCACATTCACTACATTGAAAGGGTTTCTCACCTGTATGAATTCTCATATGTTTAGTAAGGGATGAGCTATACTTAAAGGCTTTTCCACATTCATTACATTCGTATGGTATTTCACCTGTATGAGTTCTCACATGTTCTGTAAGAGATGAGTTATACCTAAAGGACTTTCCACATTCCTTACATTCATAGGGCTTCTCGCCTGTATGAGATCTCACATGTTGAATAAGGTTTGAGCTATGTCTGAAGGTTTTCCCACATTCAGTACATTCATAGGGCTTTTCACCAGTATGAACTCTCAGATGGTCAGTGAGGGCATGTTTATGACCATGGGCTTTGCCACACTGAATACACTCATATGGTTTTTCTCCAGTGTGAGTTCTCTGGTGTACAACAAGGTGTGATTTTTGGCTAAAGGCTATCCCACATTCATTACACTCATATGGTTTCTCACCTGTATGAATTCTCTGATGGTCAACAAGTCCTTGTTTGTGGCTGAGAACCTTCCCACATTCATTACATTCATATGGTTTCACTTTATTCTGAGTTTTGTCACACTTAGTATGAGATGAGCTATGGCTGGATGATTCCTTATGTTTTTCTCCAGTTTGAATTTTGTCCCGTTCAGTATGTTTCTTGCCAGTTTGAGTTTTGTCAGGCCTATTAGGTGAGCTATGGTTGGGTAATTTCTCACATTTTTTTCCAGTTTGATTTTTGTCTTTCTTTGTATCAGATAAGCTATGGCTGAATGATTTCATATGCTCTTTAGCTACATCAGGTTTCTTTTCTACATAATTTCTTACATGACCAGGTAAGTCTAAATTCTTTCCATGTGAATCAAATTTAAGAAGCTTTTTTTTTGAAGGAATATATTTTGTACTCACATTTTTTTTCCCCAATGAGCTACATTCATGGCCCTTTTTCTTAGTCAGAGTTGTTTTCTTGAAAGCAACTTCCCCAAGGAGTTTGTTTTGAGATTCCTGGTGGTTCTCTAGCTGGTCATCATCTTGCTGGACTTCTTCTAAAGTGGAATTCAATGAGACATTCTTGTGAATCTTTGCACTCTTATATTTTGGAATACAACTTATAAAGAAATGCTTTGTTGTGGAGCTGAATCTTTATTCAAGCCTAGTATCCTAAAGTGAATGAAATATCAAGTGCAAATGTCCCTGTCTTTTTGGACTTGAGGGGCAAAGTGCTGTAGTAAAAACAGGAAAAGAAAATTGACAATAGTGATTAGAAAAGGCTTTGGCTGTTTATAAATATGACCTTGCAACCTGGGATAAAAGATGAAATAAACACAAGGAGCAGTGAATAAAAAACAGATGAAGTTAAAAGCTTGTAATTGCTGCTGACACTTTTTGAAGTCTCTCCTCAGCCCAAGCTGCCCAGATTTAATAACTGCCAATCCACCAATAGTATTTGGCTCTTACAGCCCATCTATATTCATCCAACTCTCCATAGTCACGATTGGAGACAGCTGGCTCAAGCCAAGATGTCCAATAAGAGTATGTCTCCTAAAAACTTAGACTCTAGTTAGTCTCCACTGGGTGCTAAATTTAAAAATGATATAAGACAAGTACTACAAAGCCACATTTTCCCTATGTAAACAGAAAGTTCATCAGTACAAAGAATAAAGCATACATACACAGAAAAGCAGAGATGTAAGATCATGTGTCCTCAAAGAGACCATTTGCATAATCCCAGTTCCTAATGGCTTCCCAGTACTGGTTCTAGTCCCCAGCTGAAGTATCACCCCTTAGGTTACAAGAAGCCTTATAATAAATTCCTCCATTTACTTAGGATAGCTCAAGTAAAATTTTGTTATTGCTCCCCAAAGAGCCAAAATAAGAGAAAATAAGGTAAGTCCATCAAAGAGTACTGAACAGCATATAGATGACTGAGGGATTAAGCAGGAAAGGATGTTCCACTGCTACCACCCATGATTAATAATGCAATTCCTGTAGTAAGAAACATCCCACAGTTTCTATGAGTTACCTGATGTTTTTACCATATTATAAAGTTTGATATTGGCAAATAAACTTCACACCATTTGGATTTACAGTGTACACACACACTTGTTTTCCAATAGTTTGCTATGGAGCACACCTTCCTGTCAGGTCACTCTAATTGCCAATTATAAATTTTAAGCTAATTCCTAACTCTAAGTGATTGCTCACATTCTTTCCTCCACACATTATACAATTATACATTTTGAGATATCTTCTCAATCCATGCTTCCCTTCTCTGAGACCACCACCCACATTGCCAGATGTAGGCAGCCATGTTTATAGTATATGATCCAACTTCTCCTTGAAAACAATTGATCAGACAGTGGTAAACACCAGGCTCCAGCTATTCAACAATTCTAAGAACTTAGAATTGAAACTTGAAGACTTCTGTTAGCTAGATATGGATGTTACATATGTAAAAACCAAACAATTTAGAAGCTAGGACTACCATTTTGGGGGTGGCCTTTTTCAGCTATGGACATGGAAAAACAGAAAAAGCTTCAGGATAGGAATCAAAGAGACTCAAAGAGAGAAGCAGATATAAGAGTCCCCATGACCTCAGAAAGAAAGAGATAAAAAGTGAATAGTTGTTTTACTAGTAAAAGAACATTACATGGATAAAGTGAAAACTGAGTTCAAACAGAAAAGAGTTATGGTGTTTGAATATATAGCCAGGAAATACTATTACTTTTATGGAGAACTTTTAAGAGATTAGCTCCCATGGAGTAGATCAATTTTTATAAGTATACATAAAGTAGTGTTATAGTAGGAAGAATTGGAGTTGCCAGCTGCTTTTTCATTTAGGAAATTTTAAGTGATGCAAGCATCCTGAGAGAAAGAGTATAACAAGAACTTTTTTTTTTTTTTTTTTTTTGGCGGTACGCAGGCCTCTCACTGTTGTGGCCTCTCCCGTTGCGGAGCACAGGCTCCGGGCGCACAGGCTCAGCGGCCATGGCTCACGGGCCCAGCCGCTCCACGGCATGTGCGATCTTCCCGGACCGGGGCACGAACCCGCGTCCCCTGCATTGGCAGGCGGACTCTCAACCACTGCGCCACCAGGGAAGCCCAACAAGAACTTTTATGTAGCATGACAAGGCTGCATCTTCCAATGTCCAAGGATGCTGGGGAGGATGGAGGCAAGTCTCCTTCTGGGAAGAAAGGGATCAAAACTCAAACCTTTCCCCTTGAGGTGTAACATTATAAGAACCTCTTATTATGATGATTTGGGCTGGTCCCAAATGACATTGGCCAGCTGGAAAAGATATAAAGCACCACAAGAGAAATTTACCATGAGGGGAGGGGAGGAGGCTCTGAACTAGTGAACTGGTATAATAATAGGGTAATACTAGGGGAGAGCTGGGTCTGGCAGAGCATGTAATTAAGGCTATAAGCTTGTCCTGAATCTGAGACAGTAACTAAGACATGAATTTTAAGCTAAAATGACTGTAACTTCAGAAACTGAAGCATGGAGCTCATTAGACCCAGCAAATCATTGGAGGGAATAGAATAGTCCTTCCTTGAAGAAACTTCAAGGACGATAGAAGAACCTGAGCCAAGGATAGAGTCACTGTAGCAATGACAAAAATGTATATATTAAATGACTCAGGATTATTTTTTAGTTGTAACACCAAGTATCAGCGAGAAAAGTGAAGACAGCCAAAACTGGAGCCACTAATGCATGGATCAAAAATTCTATGAAGGACTTCTCTGGCGGCTCAGTGGTTGAGAATCCGCCTGCCAATGCAGGGGACATGGGTTTGAGCCCTGGTCCGGGAAGATCCCACATGCCGTGGAACAACTAAGCCCGTGCACCACAACTACTGAGTCTGCGCTCTAGAGCCCATGAGCCACAACTACTGAGCCATCATGCCACAACTACTGAAGCCCGGGAGCCTAGAGCCTGTGCTCTGCAACAAGAGAGCCACTGCAATGAGAAGCCTGCACACAGCAATTAAGAGTAGACCCTGCTCACCGCAACTAGAGAAAGCCTGCGCGCAGCAACGAAGACACAACGCAGCCAAAAATAAATAAAAAAAATAAAATAAACAAAAACAAACAAAACTCTATGAAGTCTCTTCATTTGTCATTTGAAGGACTGGTCCCTCTGGTCTTGGGAAATTCATGGAGTCTTGAAAAATTCAATATTAGAAGAAACTTAAAAAGATATTGTGGACATTCTGCTAATTTGGGGACTGTAGTGACATATAATAACTGAATATTTTAATGTTTGGTGGCAACATCTAAGACGAATATTTTTAAGGGGGGGATTTAATAAGCTACCTAAGAATTGGAGCAATTTAGGTATGGGACAATATGAATATAATTTGGGTGATGTCAGTCAGAACTGAGGGGGGAAAAAAAGTCAGGAACTGAGGAAAGTAAGAGGGAAGGCAGAGAGCAAGGATTCATGGGAACTCCATGGCAGACAGGCCTAAAATCTGACCCTGATAAAAACAAGGAAGGTGGAAGGAAGCTCTAATTTAGAAAGAAAGATAAAGCTTTCAATTTCTGACCATCTGAGAATAAGCTATCCTGTAAGGAGGTAAAATATAAGACAAAGGAATTGAAGATTTATCTGGACAAGATAAATTTATCTTGGAAGTCACCAGTATAGAATAAATAGCTTGCATTTACACAATAGATTATTCCTTTGAGGAAAACAGAATTTAAAAAAAGAATAGATAGTAGAAGACAAAACCTTAGGGACACTTCAAAGTGAGAAAGAAGAGAATCGGGTGAAAAAATTGGTAAAGGAACACTTAAACGATAAAATCAGATTCAAGTGGTATAATTAAAGCTAGGTGGGCAAGAATTTCAGGCTGATCAAAACTATTACAACATGCACTGGAAGGTTACCACTGCTGACTTTAAAGTCAGAAATTGTTAGAGGCATGGATCCTATGGAATTTGACTGCAAGGGTTAGGGAGAAAATGGAAATAATGTTGGTGGTATAGACCACAGGTCTAGAGCATTTCACAGTGAAAGGGGGGAAATGGAAAGTAATGAGGGGCAGGAGGATTACACCAAGAGATCTGGATAGAGGACAGATTTAAGAATGCTTGAATCTCTAAGGAGAGAAATTTGATACTATGGGGTCTAAGAGTGTGGGTGGACGAAGGGAGAAAAGCTGAGGATATTAGGAAAAGGGAGGATAATTTTTAAAAGCATTGCTTTAGAGAGGTAAGCAGGAATGGGATTACTTAAGAAAACAGCTAAAAGGGTTCACTGCTCTTTCTCAAAACTGAGCAACAGAGAGCATGGATGAGGAAAGATGGCTATATGGAAGGGTCAGTTAGGCATCTGATGGTCTGGTACCCAAGGTTTAGAGCCCTGTTTTTCACCTTTTTTCCTACCACAACCCGAGTGGTATGGCAGACTGTATTATTGTTCCCTGTGGATTACACCTCCCAGCCCCACTGTATGGCCATTTGAATCCTCCCTGTGAAAGGAGTATACATTCCTACCCAGTTGAACTTGGGAGTGGCCAGGTGATCTGCTCTGACTAATGAACCAATGAAATGTAAGCAGAAAGAGATATCTACCACATCCAATCAGTGATTTTAAGTCATCATATGGTTCCACTCCCTCTTCATTGCCTCTGTAATGAGACCAGAATTTGCCAAATAGGGACTGCTCTTTCAGCTTAGGTCACAAGATAATGTGGAAAAGGGCTGCAGCTTGAGCAAGAAACAAATCTTTCTTTTTGTAGGCCACTAAGATTTTAGGGTCTTTCTTTAATGGGACGTAACTTAGCCTAAGCTGACTGATACAAATGGTATAAGCAAATCCCCATAAGTCACACTGGCTCCCGACTACAGTGAGTCTCCTATGAGAACCTCTCATGTGGACAGGTTCACAGAAGGAAGAGATATTAGAATCTCCAAGGCTGGAGAATCTTTGTAGTTTGA